CCCCAAAACCCCAAAACCCCAAAACCCCAAAACCCCAAAGCTGAGATTTAAGTTGGAGAGGAGGGTTATTAATTAATAAAGATTTTATTACTGATGGAGAATTTGGAAGCGAGGTTTGGAAATTTGAAGGATGAGATTGAGAGGTTGGGAAGAGAAGGAGATAGAAGTCGGGGTTATGATGGCCAGTGTGATTTTGATGCATTCTGGAAGAATGATGATATGCTCAGCAAAGATCTTTGCAAAACGGTAAGTTGGCTGGTTTGAAGAGTAACTTTTTATTAGTAATATGTCCAAAAGACTTAGATTTTAACTAATTGATTTAGGAGTATGAAGAATTGATGCAGGATTGGAACTCATTTGGGATTGTCCAACCTTGGTTGTTTGAAAGGACTCTGAAACAAAGAGTAGATCAATTAGAAGATGGTCAGAACAGCCCAAGATATCTGGATATGTTCAAGGAAATATCTTTGAGTAAACTTAGTACTGAAAGTAAACCGGAAATTTATCAAAGAGTGCGAGCTGATTCAGAAGATCCTATTTTGGGAGATCTTTGTGATGACATAACAGAAGAGAAGCTGAAGCAAGTTGATGGGATTGAAAAGCTTCCTTCAGACACAAAGATATCTGCTCCTCGTAGAAGAGTAAGAGCTGATGCAAAGTTAAAAAAGGCACTTCGGTTTGCTAAAAATCATATTAAGAAACTCTTCAAAGCCAAAAATTCGAAGATTATTCATAAAAGATATGTCAATTGTACTCTTGAAGAGATGTATGTAAGAATGAGACTCACCCTCCAAAGTATCATCTCTGAGGAACTTCTTGTTGATGACTTGGTTTACTATACAATTGGCATCCTCAACCTTAAGAAGCCGACTAAGTTAGACTGTAAGAAATAAAGTAAAGGGAGAGATTTTAATGTTCAATGAGACTCTCAAGAAGTTCACTTACAGGAAGCTAGAGGAGACAATGCAGTCAAGTAGTTTGAGAGTATTACTCAGATACATTATTTCTCAAGCGGACGAGTCTATTGCAGAAACACTTGAGCATCTTCTGGACGCTGAGTAAATTATGAGTACAGCAAACCTTGATTCTAGTACACTCACAAACAAAAGTTGCTTTAAGGAACAAATGAGTGCTCGAATGAATGAAATAATAATTTTTGATAAAAGATTCTAAAATATTGATCCTCTAAACTCTTTTGGCTATAATTTCATTTGAACTCTTCTAATAATTTTTAAGAAATTTGGGTAACTTTCATAATTTTAATATGAGTGTTATTAGAAACTGGAATAAACTAGAAATTAGTAAGTTAGAGCACTCTTTAACTCTCGATAATCTATCCTTATCCCTCAAATACAAAATAGTGTGATCAGGCTTATAATCAAAAAGCTATTAAGCATCCATTAGCAACTATTTTTATTTCTAAACTTGCGTATGAAACTTAAAATTTGTTCTAAATATTTTTCAGTATTAAAATTTTAAAGTCATTGGTAGAATTTTCCATAAGAAGAATAAAAATAGAAGAGAACTAAAATGAGTTCAGTGGGTGTGATTTTAGGGTTTGGGCTGATGATTTGGATACTAGAGCAAATGCTCTTAGAGAAAACATCAATCATTAATTGTTAAGATACATGCAGTGCATAAATTTGTACTTCAGGATTTTCGAGATGTATCAGTTACAGTTTACTTAAAGTTCCAAATCGAATTATTCGAATTTGGATACTTTTCATTTTGAAATTTCATAAATTTTCTTCTGAAACATATTTGATTACACAATGATGAGTAATTATAACAAATTATAGATAAAAGAGCATATATTATCCTTTCCGTCCTTAATTGTCTGATTCCAGTAAGACTAACAGTTTAATTAGCATTTAGGATTTTTAATAATTCGAAATACTTAATATAAACCGTTTTGTGTAAATTTGTTTTAATAGTACAAATTGGTCTTAAATTTAATAATTTTAAGCTTCCACTACTTTATGAGATAGTTCGAAATTATTCATAAAGAGGACTAAAAATCCTAAACCTAAAGACAATGACTCCAGATTGCGAGACTTTTCAAGATTCTTATTATATTGATGATTAGAGCTCTCCTTTGAAGGCAGTTACCAAAGTTTATAAATAAATCATCGCTGGCATCAAATTTTTATGGAAAAAAACTCCTTCAGCCAGCCCAATTTGTTAATATAATTTTAGCCAAATTCAAACTAATTCTCACTTTAAAAATAAAATAGAGAAGGCAACTTAGATGAGGATAGAAGCAAGGTTAAGCTCCATCCAAGCTATCTATCTACACTTGTAGCATCTGAGAGGAAGATAAAAAGTGGTTTATCTTTTGGAATAGATATGCTTGCAATGATAGTTAAGCCAATGATTTTCTCTATGTAATAATACCATCTCCCAAAAGTGTTCTTAGAAGTTCGATTCTCTTCTTTTAACTAATAATCACCAGTTTTTCCTTTCAAAGAAAAATTCTAATAGTAATGCTTAATAAATGCGGTTGCACCACTATGAGTAATTAATAATAACTGCTGATATATGGATGAGCAACCATTCGTCATCCTTTTGTAGCACAGAAAGCATCCTAGCTTAGTTCTGAATGTTAGGATCAGAGAGAAGTTCTTCTTCATTTCTTCTCAGGTTATTTGAGTCTTGAAGTCAGTAAATAATTGAACAGAACTTTATCAGATTTGAATAGAATTGGATTGATAATAAAGTCTTATCAGATTTATATGAATAAAATGTTATCTTTATTCACTTTTAGGGTACTATTTTGCCAATTTTGATTATAATACAGGCCGTTAGGTAATAAATTTGTATTCCTGGTAATCAGATATAGCAAATTTTCTTCTAAATGCTCTTCAAAGGTCTTTTTACTGGAAGTTAAAGTTAGGAATTCTTCATATGAAAAATTTATCTCTAAAATATAAAAGTATTAACAAAATCTTAAGTTTTACCCTGTTGTAAATTCTTATAAGCCTCTGATTGGTTTTCCTTTGCTACAAAACCTGAAGTCTTAAGAGGATTATTCAATTTAATTTTTCCAGATCTCAAAAATTTAATCTTCTTCGAAAAATTCATATCAATTTTAAATTCAGGCAGATATTGACAAGAGATTAACATTTTGGGAAATATAGTGGAGTTAAACTAAAACTAAACTAGCAAAATCCTCTGATTACTATTTTTCTATATGAAATAAATGAACACTCCGATTATTATTAAAACATAACTTTTAATAAAATTTTAAGAGTAAATTATTTTAGTAAAACCCAACCTACTGGAGTCATTTTTAAAGAAAACTCCAAAAACCTCATTCCAAATCCTCAATCCCTCTCATAACCACCACACCTCTTGCTAAACTTTCATATCCAAAATAATGCTATCCCCCACCCACCCCAAATTCCTTCCTCCAAGACCCACCAGTCAACCCTGCCACCCAAATCTCCAAACGCCACTTCTTCTAAACCTCCCCTCTTCCTAAAATGCCTTCTTGGCTCCACTCCAAGCCTAGTTTTCTAAAAAAATCAGTTAAAATTTATCTTCTTAGGCTCAGTCGTGTGCAGGTGATTTTTTGAATTTTTATGAATTTTTCGAAATTGGTAGTTCAACCTAGCTGAAAGCTTCTGGGGTTTTGGGGTTTTGGGGTTTTGGGGTTTTGGGG